AACTCACCCCCGCAGGACTTGGGGAGCCCCCACCCCCGCTCTCATTCAGCCGTCCGCCACCCGAGGCCACGAGCGAGGATGCGGCGCACCTGAGAGGGACGCCGTGGCGCTGCTCCGTCGCCCAGTCACACCCACGCCCCTGTGTAGCCCTTCAGCCGCTAATGGCGACTTGCGTCCAGGCCGAAGGGAGGGTACCCAAGTTCTCCCAAAGAGTGTTTCTCTCATCCCGGTTCAAGGGGCTTGGGTTCTCTGTACCTCTCGGTATACCCTAAACGGGTTTCCTGATTTATTTATTTATTTAATCAATCTGTGTGGCCGCCCATCTCAGCAAGTGACTCTGGACAGGGAACAATCTTAAAAAAAAATTAAAAGCAAATTTCCATCATAAGTACAAAAATTAAAATAACACCGCAAAAATCAGCGTTACTCAGATGGTTCCAGGGAGCCCCTGAATAACCAAAACCAGAGTTCTGTACCATTTCGGAGGGTGGTCCAATCCATGACTATGCTGAATTAAATTCCAGCGAGTTAGCGGGATTCCCCCCCCCCCCCCCCCGCCAAGACTGTGGTTTTAAAAATTAATTTATTGCAGTTGAAATATTTGTAGACCAGCCAGATAAATTAGGAAACCTTTTATTACTTGAGCTTAGATCCTTAGAGGAGATTACACAAGGAAATTGGAGAGTTTCTGATCACTACTGCCTAGCAGCCTCTTATAAAATTGGTAGGGATATTCTGGAAAGGTGCTTTCTTCATTTGTAATAGAGTGAGACTGGAATACCATACCTTGTCTTCCATGTGCATAAAATATACATGCAGGATAGAACTGTTTATGTAAATATGTTTATCATTTGTACACATCTGCATGTATTCAATTAATGAAAACAGTTTCTAATTGTATACAGGTAGTCCCCAGGTTAAGAATGCCTGGTTTACAGACCACCCATAGTTAAGAATGGAGCCAATTGTAGGAAAATTTGAGTTAATTACACAATACAGTATTATACAATAATAATGTTCTGGCTTACATACAAATTTGACTTAAGGACAGACCTTGGGAACAGAACTCATTCTTAAATTAGGGACTACCTGTATTTGTAAATATCTCCTTGACTGAAGTATTTAATCACAGAAGAGGGACAGCCAGTTTGGTCTAGTGATTAAGACATCAGGCTAGAAACCAGGGTACTCTGAGCTCTAGTCCTGCCTTAGGCATGAAAGCCGGCTGGGTGACTTTGAGCAGTCACTCTCTTAGCCCAACTTACCTCATAGGGTTGTTGTTGTGAGGAAAATAGGAGGAGGGAGCATTCGGTATTAGGTATGTTTGCTGCCTTGAGGGATATTTTATTTTTCTTTCATATTTACAATAGTGGTGTGCAGCATTTTATAATCCAAACAGGGTATTTTCAGTTTGAAAATGTTCCATGCTCAAAACATGTGGTATGGTCAAGATACTAGCACTAATGTCACACCAGTCCATTCATGATCCAGCTGGTTTGAATTTGAACTGTTCTGCATACACTTACTTCACAACAACTCAAAGGTAGACTGGGATGAGAAGTATCAACTGGCTTAAAGTCACCAGTCAGCACAGATATTGAATCAGGAGTTGAATCTGAGTCTTTCTAGTCCAATTTCTTAAGCTTCACACTACTCTGTCTATACATATATATACCGACAGAATTTCAAAGATAGGCATTTCTTTTTCAAATGGTAATAATGTGTTTATGTATTTTATTTATAATTTTTGACTTAAATAACACCTGACCTCAATCAACCCTGGGTGGTTCACAGTATTAATTTGAAATAGATCTAGGAACTAAGTCTCATTCAGCATTTAGCTAGATTTTTTATCTTGTGTTTAATTTAATTCCTCAATCTTCCATTATTTATTTAGCTTTTCTCATTTGATTTTGTGAAAGTTGTCAGCTATATTTTGATACCTATATCTGAACTAAAAATGAATATCTGTTTTGCAAAAATAACATAATTAATTGAGCCTCTGGTTTAAATCTTATCTAGGCAGAGAAAAGTGAAATAGGGAGGCAGAAAATACGAAAGAAAAAAGTCTAAAATAATCTAATTCAGTGCCATTTAAAGAACAAACAATAATTAAAATGATCAAAATGTGTTAATAACACAAATTATTATACATATTAATTTGTGTTATGATTAACACATTTTGATAAGCCAAAGCACTTGGCATAATTTTATAATTTCATAATACTTGTTTTTTAAGAGAAGGGCAATATTTCTCTTTTTTTTAATTGAGATTTTTTATTTATTTATTTATTATTTATTTATTTATTACATTTTTCAACCGCCCATCTCCCCCCAATGGGGGAACTCTGGGCGATTCACAACAAACATTAAAAACTAATTTGTGTTATTAACACATTTTGATAAGCCAAAGCACTTGGCATAATTTTATAATTTCATAATACTTGTTTTTTAAGAGAAGGGCAATATTTCTCTTTTTTTAATTGAGATTTTTTATTTATTTATTTATTACATTTTTCAACCGCCCATCTCCCCCCAATGGGGGAACTCTGGGCGATTCACAACAAACATTAAAAACATAACATAAAATATATAAATACATAAAACCTTAATTAAAAACCCTACAAGATTCCCTGAATTGTATGGGCAGTAGCTAAGGTGAAACTGAGTGACTTCTAAAGACACAACAAATTACTTATAATAAATAGTATTTTAAAATCTGCTATTACAATGGAAGAAAAGTATCTGAAGAATCTGTGAAGATGTAGCATGGTGGTCAGTCTCTCCCCCATGCTTAAGAAATGGGGCATTTTGTTAGGTCAAATTATGGACCATGGAGTTTTAGTCACATGAAAGTGTAATGATTTTAGTGTGTAGCTGATAAATAGAATGATAGCATTAGTTATTTCACTTTAGTCATTCATGAGGTTTTCTTCACGTACATTTGAACATTTTTTTAAATTTTAATTCGGAGTAAATTTAAAGGAAATTGCCTTGTAATTCTTTTTTGCTGAATGTTGATGAAACTTTACCTTTTCTGTTTTATGGATTTTAGGTTATATTAGAAATAAAGGTGTTAAGTAGTATTTAAAGCTGACATTGGGTATATTCACAGTAAGCACATTCTTCATTTATTTATATACTGTTGTTCGTTTCAAGAGCTGCATGTTTCACTCCAAACTCTGTTAAAACTGCGTGTTTTTAAATTAAAGATAGTCTGGGAGCCAAAAGACTGTGTGTGAAAACTGTTTTGTTCATATAGAGGATAGTGTATTATGCAATAAGACAATTAGTAATAAACAAGCATGTTACTAATCATTGTAATTTCTCCTGGTTGGTTGTTCCAGTTACCAGGAACCATTAGGAAATTAGGAAATCATCATTTGGTTAAAATAAACAAAACGTTAATGTTATGTCCCTATTGGTTTTATAACTTTTTTCTTGGTTTGTTACTCTCTTAATAAGTTGGGATTTATTCTTGGATTATGATTCTTGGCTTGTAGTGAAGTGACAAACTAGAAATTCTATTTGGATGTAATGCTACTTGGTGATTACTGTTTAGTTTAGCTGCTCCTAGTGGCAGGAGGAGCAAAGTGGAGCTATTGGGCAACATACTTAAGCTTTCTTGGCTGGTGTTCATTAATAATAATTATGGCATATTATTAAGTTCAAACTTGCCGAAGATGGATCCTGGGTTTTTTTGTTTGTTTTCTTTGTTTTGAAATTCTGCTTTGCATAGACATCTGAAAGGCTTTGGAAGAGGGGACAAACGATTTTCTGTCTTTAGGGAACATTCTGCACGTTTTTGAGTTCTGGCATTAGAATTGGAATGCCGCCTTAATATTTCTGAGAGATAATATGAATAACTTTCAGTACACTTCTTTTGATCTGGTTTTATCACAGAAAAGCAAGAAAGTTCTTGAGAATTCTGTAGGAAGTTGGAGACTTATTTAGAATACACGATTATTCTATTCCATGTGTAAGAATTCCAGGTCAGTGTTTTTTCCAATCATACTATTAAAAATTGCATTTCCAGATTGACAAACCTTCCCATTACATGTTTCAAACACATTTATGACCATACAAACCCAAAATTCTTTTTCCAGTTCCATAATTACTAGAAAATTGCTATTATTAGATTCACCTTGTCATGTCACTATACTGTATTATGCTGACATTTTAGTCAACTCAATTACTCGTTATATATTCTGAATTTTATACTCAGCAGGAAAACACTCTAGTTGATTATTTATTTTGATTTTTTTTTTTTTACTTCTCAGATAAGGACTTTGTTTTTTTTAGAACTCCTCTTCGTTTATGCTAAACCTACCATTCTGGAGAGCTCTGGAACATACAATTTTTTACCCAGACCAGAGGTGGTCTGATTGGTTTCTGAAAGTTAATCTTCTGAACTGGTTCTAATTTGAACTTCCCAGAATTACTTAGAAACCCATAGAATGACACTTCTTCATACAATTATACCAGAGTAAGAGTAGATTCAGTAGCAGGGGTAGGCAACCTTCTTGGGGTAATATAAAATGGCTGCCAGGGAAAAAGAACTTGCCCACTCACAAAATGGCTGGCCAATCCCAAAACAATGAGTTACCACAGGGCAATCTAGGGCTTACCGAGATTACCTAGGAATCCCTTTAGATTGCTTTCTGCATTTCACAAAACTCAGTCCAGAATATCACAAACCTAATTTTGGACAGTCTATCCTGGAAATACACAAACCGCTATAGAATGTTTGGCATGACCCTTTCTGAGGAAAAAGAGTTGTTTAAGAGCCTAGTTACTCCCACACAGAACATTTTGCATATTGTAACAAAACATTCTTATGTTCCAAAGTTTTGTCCTGAGCTGAAAGAAAAATGGGGTGTTTCAAGGTCCTGTGATCCCACAATTGGCTTGTTTGTTTGCTTTTACATTCTTCCAGACATGGAGATATAGTGCATTAGCCATTGACACACCAGACTCTCATTCCATCTCTGCTGCCCTTAGTTAGAGGTGAGAGATAGTTAAACATATATTAAAAGATTGAGAAACATTTTAGATGCTTAAAAATTCCTTTTGCCTGTCTGATATATAGATAGATTTACTGTTGCTTTAAATTTGCTGCTTGCTTGCTTCTTGTTACTATGGGTATATGTAGTACTTTCTTTTTCATACAGGAACTCAAGATGCAAAATTGTCTATTAAGATTCAGATAACCCTGGAAGTTATTTTATTTGTTGTTTTATTGTTCATGGGTTGTGTTTAAGTAAATATATTGTTACTTCTTTGCTGAGCTCAGTGCTATGAATTGCATTTCTACAGGCAGCTGAGGATGAAAAAAGCACACTTTGTTTCTGTTATTTGCTGTGGATTTTTTTAAAAAAGATTTTTAAATCTTTTTTTTTTAATATCTGATTTTTATTTGAGTAGAGTCATGTTCCTTACAAATAATACCAGTTTTCCTCTGGATCACAGTGATCTAAGAGTAGCTTGGCAGTTTTCTCAAGGTAAATTAGTTTTATGTTTTCTACTTACAAGAATATTTTTAAAATGAGAGCCAGTTTGGTCTAGTGGTTAAGGCTCCAGGCTAGAAAGCAGGAGACTGTGAGTTCTAGTGCCACCTTAGGCATGAAAGCCAGCTGGATCACTTTGGACCAGTCATTGTCTCTCAGCCCACCTTACCTCACAGTGGTGTTGTATGGAAAATAGAAAGAAGGAGTATTAGATATGTTCGCTGCCTTGAGTTATTTATAAAAATAATAAAGCTGGGATTTAAAAAATCTTATATATATATTCCTTGGTTAACAATGCTAATTGGGACTGGAAACTCCATCGTTAAGCGACACATTTGTAAGTCAAAAAACCATTTGTAAGTCAAAAAACCACTAAGTGACCATGCCACTTAACAAGAGCAGTTTAAGCAGTCCCAGTTACCATAGTTAAGCAAGGACCTTGCATGACTGCGGCTTGGGACTTCCTGCCAGCTTCCCCATTGACTTTGCTTGTTGAAAGCCAGCAGCGAAAGTCACTAATCACAATCACATGACCACAGGGATGCTGCAACAGCCATAAGTATGAGGACCGGTTGTAACTACCACTCATATAGCGCCATCATAAGCTCGAACGGTCACTGAATGAGTGGTCATTAAACAAGAACCACCTATAATACTTCTGGATTTTAAATAATACTATATAAATAATACTCCTGTCACAACATGGATTCTTCGTGAAGATCTTAA